TTTTTTTTTTTTTTTTTTTATTTCTCTCAGTGCAGGTGTCAATCCTTGGAAATGAGTGAATATATCGTTATTCAAACGCGTTGCAAAATTTTAACCATCTAATTGCTGTTAATAATTTTTTACTAGTAAAAAAACTACTAATTATACAACAACCCAAAATTCAACCAAATTAAGGAGGCCGTAAAATCATTCCTGGCTTCTAACTACTATAAATGTATAAAATATTTCAAAGTTGTATAGTGTAACAGGAACCTAAACTTGGTTTTAAAAAATGTTTCTCGCGACCATAAAAATTTAAATTCGAAAAAAAAACAAAAAAAAAAGGAAAGGAAAAAAAAGTTTAAACATCTGTTTATTCTTCCTGTTGCAGATCAACGTCAATCAGCGATCTCTGGAGACGACGAGCCTCGAGCTCTGCGGAGGTGGCAGCAGTAGCGCCGCAGCGGCAGCGGCAGCGAGTAGCGCGGCGCAGGGCGTACCCCAGGGCCAGGCAAGCAGCGCGGGTTCCATAGGCTCGGCGCCGAGTCCGGCCTCGCCGAGGCCGGCCCCCCAGCACCGGCCGCCCCTCACCGCCTCCTCGCAGTCCTCGCGGACCCTAGACGACGACAGGTCCACCGATGGTACGGCGTCTAACGTATACTCTCTGTTGCGAACTGAACGAATAATTACGCGCAATTTGATAAATCTTTTCCATAAGTGTGTTGGGGCATTTTTCTGAACGTCACAACTTGGCTTTTAGACCAATAGTAACTACCATGTTTCATTCATTGTCGAACTTTAGGTGTTCATTGAGAGAAAAAAATAATAAAGGTCATAGAGAAATTCCACCAAAAATTACCATTTCTCCCTGTGCATCGAAAAATTTTTGTTTTAACAGTAAAGATTATTATGCTGGAACAGTGTATCTTAAAAGGATCGGTTAATACATTTTAATTTCCCGCATAGAAATTTATTTTTACTGTTCCAATTATAATTTTTACTTTTCAAACCATAATTTTAACTGTTAAAACAATAATCTTCACTGTTGAAAATAATAATTTTTTCCTTTTTTTTTCAGCTTGTATCCGATTTACTGTGCGAAATGGTGATTTTTTCTGGAATTTTTCTATAATTTTTATTATTTTTTTCCCTCAGTATAATAATGTTGCCACGACGCACTCTGTAAAGTACATTGAGTGAGCCTACAAACTGATTTTCAATACATAAAGACCATTTACTCATAAAAATTTTTTTAAAACCTACTCTTTCGACAAATCTTAATCAAACAGTTTGTTTTAAGGTGCAATGATAAAATCATTCAATATTAAAGTAATGATGTATTTGTGATGAAAATGTTAAAGTTTATTAAATGTTAAATGATCTTATTGATTTAAGGACTCAATTGTGTGCATTGTGTCAAAGACTTGTTAAAATTTTTCAAAATAATCCTGAAGGGAGCCAAAAAGCCAAGTTATGATGTTATTCGATCATTTTAAAATAGTTTTTTTTTGTCGTACTTTTTTTTTTTTTTTCTTTTTCTATAAAGAGCTACTGAAAACCAAAAATTTCCCAGTTAACACTCGTACGAATACACGGACATGCATGTATAAAGGGTATAGGAGATCATCGCGTGCGCGACTTCTGCAACGGACACTTTCAATGCCGAGAAAATTCGACACCGAGTGTGTGCACGTATTGAATTACACGTGCAGGTGGTGTATTATGTACGGAAAAAGCTGGAAAAGGGAAAAGCCGCGAAATCGAAGCACATATATTTACGCAAGGGCCGGGGAGCCGAAGGATTTCCATCGAAAATGAAATTGGGAACCCACTACTTCTTCACTGTACACGCGTCCTCTCCATTTCCGGCTGTACATGTACAATACACTTTATTATATACCTCCATAGTATCGGTATCTCGCGACCTTTGCGACTGACAATATGATGTACATATATTACGTGGATGCGCAAAAGAAAAAAAAAATTTATACATATATATATATGTACCGAATAGATATGCATGGACATGAGAAAAGAATTTGAGTGCACAAAAGATGCATTGTGTGTGGAATGTAGTCTGGTTGTGTGTATACCAACATGAACGTCTAACGTACCTTTTTGCAGTACTGCAGAATTTCCAGCTTGTCGGTCATGCAGCTTTTTGTGTCGCCCGACGATATCCATCGGCCTTGCTCTCCCATGTGCTGGGCTAGATAGGCGTCGCCGGGCTCGCAGAGTGTTGCCACCTATTTTNTAAAAAAAAAAAAGAAAAAAAGAAAGAATTCAAAAATATAAATTAAGTATTACGCATTTACATTTAAGGACATTAAATCTCGTTCTCGAATAAATAAAAGGTCTCTTTATTGGATAATTCGAAAAATGGACTCCATTCATTGGAAGATTGAATAATTGCAAAACGAGAATCGATGTCCATTAAATATACTAAGGCTGCGATTACATGGACCAAAAAAATATCCTAAACTTGTCTTACTCGTGTCTTACGTCAAGTTTAGACATGAATTTGACAAGTTTAGGATATTCTTTTAGTCCATGTAATCGCAGCTTAAGGATAATTTAAGTTATTTGAAAGTGAGCCTTACATTTATTAGTACCTAAACTCCATCGAAAATTGTTTCTCACTCATGACTCATCTGACCAATTAAGTCCAAAATGTGACACGTGCGGCGTTGCACGTGTTTACTGTATGATTTTATCACATTTTTTATAACCTATATACTTGGTTACAATATAAAAACATCGAGCCAACCAACCGATTTACTAAAAAACACACTTTTCACTCACGAAATATTATTGAGCACAACTTCATAATAGCGTATGAGAAACTAGGTCTCCTCATACAATTCACGGCACTGAAAACGACAATTAACGCACCAACTTATACATGTTATATTTATCATACTGTTGTAAGTATGCCTAGAAGTTGATCAGCTCATCAGGAGATGTTATGTCACTTCTCGTGTTGTTCGCACTTTGTCTCTCAGGGGGAGTTGGAGTGTATTCGATTGGCGGGCGATTTAATTCAAACTCACGTACACTAATGAGTATTGTTGTAGTTAAATAAAAATTAGTTGTTACATTATAATTTAGGAAATTTATTTATTCAATTTATACAATTATATCGACCAAAGCATCAATAAATAAATATATATTTATCCTAAAGTAATACGTGTGTATAGCAAACATTATTTTTATAAGTAGACTCAAATTGTCATTATCTTTTAGATCAAAATTTAAAAGTGTTACCTCAAACAAAATAATTGTTTAGAGTTAAAACCATTTTTTTAACGAAAAATAAGTTAATTATAAATAAGTTCTCTTTAAATGTGAGTAAGAAAATAATTAAATAAAATATCATTGCAAAATAACTGAGTTTTAAGATGCTCGCACAGCTTGTGTCCGGACATACATATGTATATTTTTATACATATGTATTATTTTGATAAAACAGAACTCTAAGGAGCGCGAAGTTTCAAAATTTCTACACACATATAGGTCCTGATATACCACCTATGTATTTTTTGCTTTTTACTACCTGACGTATTATTCATGCCATATTATTTCTCTTGGATATTATTCACCAACTACATAACATTCGAAGTCATTATTATCAGTCAGTCTCTATACGCCTATTGAGTTGACAGTATAAAAAGATATCGATATGTCAATATTTTTGTTTTTCATGCGTTCAGTAGCCTTGTAATAGTCGTAAATTAGTGAAAAAAATACAGGTATGTCTACAATCGATGATATAAATCTACTTGTGCATTTAACATTAGAAATTGTTTATGAACAGATAATCAAAAGATTTTGTAATGCACACCACAGATTCGGGTTCTTTACTCATAGGCTGTTCCGATTCATTTTGACATTCACCATAGGGCTTGGCTGCGCGCTTTTATAATGAACAATCAATTTTTTTTACAACCCCATTGGTAACCACGACATTTATGGAGTGTACGGTGCGCATGTGACGCTTGAAATTTCTCACCTCGATATATTTTTTTTCGCATCCCTGCACATCGCACTTGTAGGGACGTTCGCCGGTGTGTGTGATCTTGTGTCTCTTGAGATGATTAATTTGAACAAAAGAATTTCCGCATTCGTTACATTTGTAGGGACGCTCGCCACTGTGCACCCGCAAATGAACGTTGAAATTACTTTTATTGGCAAACTCTTGTCCGCACTCGGTGCATTTGTAAGGATATTTACCGGTGTGTACGCGCATGTGTATGTCGAGATGAATTTTTTGGCTAAAACTATTTCCGCACACGTCACATCTGTAGGGACGCTCGCCAGTGTGTATACGTTGGTGAGTACCGAGATTAGTTTTACAAGCGAACTCTTGTCCACATTCATCGCACTTGTAAGGGCACTCGCCAGTGTGGACGCGCTCGTGTCTTTTGAGATGGCCTTTTTGAGTGAAATCTTTGCCACATTCGCTGCATTTGTAGGGACGAATGCGGTTGTGGGTATCCATGTGTTGTTTCAAGTGGCAACTTAGATTGAAACCTTTTCCGCACTCTTTGCACGTCGTAAGAGAATTTTTGTCAGAATGTGCCGTCGTCATATGGTAATTACAATTCCTTATGTGAGAAAAAGTTTTTTCACACTTTTGGCATTTGTAGGGACCCTCGCTGGTATGTTTGCGCAAGTGTCTTGCCAACGTACTTTTGTACTTAAATAGTTTTTTACAATATCGACATTTAATGGTACTTTCTTTGCGAGTATTTGTCTTTGCCTTCATTTTGAGATTTAATGTTGGAAACTTCGATGTGATTGACGTAAGCTGTTGAATCAATTTATCTAAGCTCTATTGTAATTTTCAACCGTATAGTTTTTCTCGAGGTTTTTCTGGATTCAGTGACTTAGGACAATATACCCAACTGATGTGGCACAGCAATTTAAGTGTTGAATTAACTAAAAATTAAAAAA